TTGAAGAAAGTCTGGCCTTCTTGTTGTTTGGTTGCTTACCCATGTCTAGAGTAGTAAGTTCGTGCTTTCTGGACCCCGAGGTCCTTGTTTTGTTGAAAAAATCGAAGATAAAAAATGACTTTCTTTGTAAAATTTTGATTTCGAGTGTTTTTCCGGAAGGGAACCAGAAAGAGTTCGCCCCTTGTGATTTCTATAACATATTTTTTTAAAAGCTCTTGTATTGTGTCTGACAGGTCTGGAGTAATTACTTGATTAGTATTCAGGAAAAGATATCTTAATAGTAGGGAAGTTATTCATTCTGGGCAATATTCTACTTTGATTATGTAAGCATGCCACAATAGGCCTGTTAATTGTGACTATTCTTTTAGATGAGATACCAAGCTCTTTCCCACTATAGTTGCTGTATGTTCTTGGGTAACCTTCATAGTTGTGGCTATCCTGAAATTCATTTCTCTGATTTTGTGATTAATTGTATGGCCAATAATTGCCCTTCGCACTTGGCTGAAATAGGGATTACTTCTAAAGTAAGAGAGTTTACTACTGCTACTTCTATAATTTTGTCGTTTATGGTTTCTGCTGTTTTGTTGAAGAGTTTATTGGTAGAATTTTCTTTTTCAATAATTGAACAAAGTTCCTCACCAAACACTTTATCTTTATCCATTAGAGGGGCATAGTTAGAAGAAATAACCTTGAGTGATTGTTGTCTCTTGAGTTTATTTGTATATGATAGAAAGAGGAATCTTGAGTCTCTAAATATAGTTTTGATATATTCTCATACCTAGAGAGCTTCAAGTTATCCAGTGGTCAAAGAATTGCAGATGATCAGTATGCAACCTTTGCAAGAAGCTTATCTGTTTCTTTAGCTTGAAAAGGCATAAGTTTTCAAATTTGTCTGTCCATTGATGGTGCTTTATACTTGATTTCTACATTTTGCAGTTGGTTCCTAAGTATTTTAGATCTTGAAGTCTTTGAAAGTAAATTGTTCTTGTGTATTCTAGTGGGAAGATTGAGCATTCTCCCTGTTGATGTTCAGGAATTGTTGTCAAATTGGTCATGGTCAGAGTTATCTGCAATTTTATTATCAGTATGACATGGCTTATTGTGAACTGCATCTTCATCAGTTTGCATATTATTTGCAGTTTCGTCTGTTTGTATATTAATTAATTATTTTACTGTGATAAAATTATATTATATTTATCGCAGTTGCTGCCAAAATAAAATGGCCTAGTAAGAAGGATTAACCATGTGAAAGCTATATATATATACAAAAAAAAAGTATAACATAGTAATATGTTATGTTCATAATCTCTAAATATTGGTAAATCGCTGCTAATAAAATGGCTATACTACACGTGATATTATATATCGAAGTAAGTGAAATACATTTGATTTTAAGTCTTAGTTCTTGGACTACCTATATATACTAATGAAATTATTTTAGATTTCAGGGTACGAAATTAAAATTTAACAACAAAATTGTTTTTGATCTATTTTATTTAAGGGTAGGGTGATATAAATCATTTGTTATATAATCACACATGCTAAAAATTTTTTATACAAAAATTGAGTATATGCTATTAGTAAAAATTTTTAAGGCTACAACTAAACTTTACCAAAACTTCATAATATATAGATTAAAACCTTTTCTTTATAATATAAAAGTTTTAACTCTTATATTATTTAAAAAAATCTACCTCCATATATCATTAAATTCTTCTAGATTAATTAAAATTTGCCTAGATAACACAAAAATTACTAATTCTTATTGGTCAGATTTCGATTGTTTACAATTCTGATTGGTCAAATTAATATAAATCATATGATATCATATGATTTGCTATGTGATTACTATTAAAAATGATCTACATAAAAAAAACTCTTTCTGGTTCCCTCTCAGAAAAATACTTGAAATCAAAATTTTACAAAAAAACTCATTTTTTATCTTCAATTCTTCCAATGAGACAAGGACCTTGGGGTCCAAAAAGCACGAACTTACTACTCTAGACATGGGTAAGCAACCAAACAACAAGAAGGCCAGACTTTTTTCAAATAGCAACAAAGTTTTTGACTTTACAAAAACTGAAGAAAACAAAGAAAACAACAAGAAACTTGACAACAACAATAATAACAGCAACAATAACAGCTTTAGGCCAGGAACAGAAGTATTAGTTGACTTGACTCTCAATGTGTCTGATACAAACTGGGTGAACCAGATAGAAAAGGAGGAAACTACTGCAAAAAAAAGCAAAAGTGAAAATTCTTGTAGTCAACAAGAAACACATGTAGATCAGACAAACATAACAAGTCATATAAATAATATAAACAATAAACAAAAGAAATATGTGTCTACGAGCAACCAATCAACTTCTGTGCATCCAACTAACCTAGACGAATCTTTTTTATCTGACACACCAGAGGTACAAAGTAATCAAAATAAAGAACCTAAATCCAAACAGTGGTCTGATCTATTTGCGAAGCTAAAGAGAGGGAAGTCAACTTATACTAACTCTTCTCCCAGACAAAGAATTCACTCGAAGAACAAAAACGCACTAGTTATTGAGCAGCTCTGGCTATGAGCTTGAAGGAAGACCTCATAGTAGCAAAAACTCATACTTCAAGAGAAAAAAGAACCTACCTCGAACTTATTTTTAAAGATAAAGATAAAGTGCAATACTATGTAGCTAAAGGTATTTCTCTCTTCAAACAAACTCTGTTTGGATACATCCCAGTTAATCTTAACCAATCTTTTCTAACTGTAAAACTAAATAATACCCTATGGGTGATACCAAACTTATTAGCAACCGTATTGTGGAAGCCTTCCATTATGTTGACCAAATAGCATCTGTTAAACCTCTCTTCTATGAAAAAACAACAGTCTGTTCAGATCAATGGTTGATTACCTTTGAAACTACAGACGATCCGAAATCGCTTCAAAAATCCCCAAAACTACACATATTGGCAATCATAAAGTAACGACAGAATGGAAAGAAGCCCCAAAAATCTGTTTTTACTGTGAAAAGGAAGGGTATTTCAAGAAAGACTGTAAGGAACTTAAAGACTCAATGGAAGCTAGACGTCTTCTTAGAGAAGCTAGATCTAGATTAGAGTTGAAAAAAACACAAAAATCAGAGACTACAGAAATTAGCTTTAGCCCTAACAACCCATACAAAACCACCAGTATGAAAAGAAAACTACAGTTTCGGACCTAGTCACAACACCTGAAGAAACCTCAAGTCCCAATAAGAGCTTATCCTCAAGTTCCAATGAGAGCATATCCTTAAGTCCCAATGAGAGCTTATCTAGTAACATGGAACTAGATACTTTAACTGCTAACACTAATACAAACCTTGAAGTCAATAAAACAACTGCCAAGGTTTGGCGACTTAGTGAAGTGGTTAAGTTGTTGCATCCCGAGTATCAAGGTCTAGAGTTCAATTCCTACTGGTAACGATATTTGAAAACTATATCTTGAATATCCTTCCATAAGAAAAATATACGAACTTAATTGGTGCCGGTCTTTGACTGTAATTGTGGTTATACCAACTCGATTTGGAAAACAGATTGGCGCCCGTTGTGTAAAGATCCCACAAGGCTAATCCCAATTAGAAAAGTTACTCACAAAGTTCCGAATATAGTATCCATATCCAAAAACCCGTACCGCAGAGAGTCATGATTAGGAATATGGAGGAATGCAAGCTGGTATATATAAACATACCCTGAATGTTGTAGAATAGTCAGTACAAACCCACAATAAATCTATATAAGGGTTATCCTAGCCATATAGAGTAGGACTATATATTAGCTTCACAAATATGCAATATGTATACAAATACAAACACAAACATTAACTAAGACTAGCCCATCTAAAACTTGAGGATAAG